TGCTGATTTTGCTAAATTGAGAAGTAGCGTTAGTAGAAGTATTAGTAGCAGTTTCATGGTGCATGGTCGATTGGTGGAAGTGACTAATGAGCTGTCACCAACCCGCTTGAGGAGGCGGACGAGGAATCAAAGCTGCAAACCATTCGAGGGCATTTCGGTGGAATCGAGAAGAGACGAGTGTCTCGTGAATGTCGCGGCTCGAACGGCGACTGGACTCGACCACTCTTCCCGCAAGTCTGAGTCCCTCACGACGTCCCTTCGCGGGGGATGCCCACAAAAACCTCAGACTTGGCGTCTTTTCAGAAGTCTCCTCGACGATTGCCTTCCGCCGAGCGGGTTCTATTCGACGGCACCTCTTTTGCTGGGTCTCTTCAAAATGCCCATTTCACACGCCTCAATCGCCCCAGCAACGGAATCCCCTCCCCCGATCCCATCCCAACGAGGCCGCCTTCACGTGGTACAGACGTCCTCTCTGAGGCCTCCTCCTCCCTTCGACGACTCTGCCTCCACTTGCAGCCATGACGACGGCGCACTCCTCGACACTGCTACATGTATTAATGTGTGTGTGTGTGTTAGTGTGTATGTGGGTTTGTACCGGGTCAACATTGTCTCCGACGCGGTGTCTGAGCTACAGTTGGGTCGAAAGGTGTGTGACATGACAACGTCTGTCCGTCTTCGCCTTAGCCGGCACCCCAGCACTGGCATGGCGACGCAATTGTTGTACGTCGGATTGAAAAGCAACATGGGCACGTCTTTCAGCCTCAAGTGTGTCACAGCTCGTCTCGCCAGTTCCACCGTCGCTGCTGCTCCTCTCGCCTCGGCTCGACACAAGCCGACAATTGGGCCGGTCAGGAGGAGTTGAGGATACCTCCTCGACGAAGAGTTGTAGAGGCTGGTCACTGAAATGAGGCCCAAGCGAGGCCGGAATTGTGCTCGAGTCCGCGCAAGACAGCCTCTTCTGGGAGGAGACGCAAAGACGATTTCAGCCCAACAGTCTCGTCTCATCGTGGTCCCACTTGGTCTACTCGAAGTGAGTCTAAGCGACTCGGCTGGCTCGTCAATCTCTGCCCCAACAACCGTGAAAGCCGTCTTTTGGGTTGACGAGAATAGGCAGCTTCGCCTCATAAAATGCATGTACAGAAAGATCCTTTTCCCACCAATCACATGCTCGCATCTGCTTCACAATCCCTTTCCCGCCGTTCTCCTCTTTCTCCTCACTCCGTCTAGAAGCGGCCATTCACGCCGGACAACCAAAAGGTAATCGCTTCTTCTCAACTCTACAATTGCTTTCGTCGTAGACACAAAGTCCACGATGCTGTGTCGTGTAAGCCTGGCTTGATCTTGTCTTCTCAACTGGATCGTGTTGTCATAGCAACGGGGGGATGAGGACGCCTTGTTCGGGGTCTTCTGCCGCAGGCAAGTTGGTACATTTTGCAGACATTTTGCCGGCCTAAATGAGTCTTGCTCGTTTTACCGCCCAGCTACTGTCTGTTTCAGACTGGTCTCCTTGACGAGTTGTTATGATATTGCAAGATTCAGTGCGGCTGCAGGCGAGACGTCTGCGAATGCAGCAAGAACACGGTCCAATGTGGCTAATTATTGTGCACAGTTTGGAAGAGGACTGTGCACAAGCCTCTTTCGTCCCAACTCCGCTCGGCAGCACGATCACTTTGCAAAAACGAGCTCAAACCACTTGCACAACTGGCTTCTTTTTGCTATTTGTTCATGCACTTACATCCACTTTTATCCTTTTTTCTGTGATTAAAGTTGCTTCCCAGTTTCACCAGATAGTGCACTTTCTGCCCATCTATTGCATGTGAGCACGACTTGTGGATCTCACTTCTCTACATTTGATTCAGTTTCGTCATCCTCTTGCAATCCCTAAATACATTTTACTCTTCTTTACTTAATGCACTACTTATGGCCAATAAATCTTCGGCTCTTTCCGACCATTAATGAACAGCAGAGTCTGTCTTTTGTCTCTCTTTCTCCACATGTTGTAGCTGAAATTCTTGACTGTATCTCCCTAAAAACAGCGCTTTATAACTAGCTCCCT